TAGGAAAAGTATTTACTACATTTAACTGATGCTAGAGGTAAAATATTTCATAAAAAGAAAAGCAGGGGGGAAATAAAACATGTTTTAAATAGGAAAAGATCCAGTGATTTTCAAAAGCTGTTGTGAAAGAAGAAAGACAAGACTAATCATAAGGAAGTGGGTAATTATCAATTTAGACAGGGTTTAAATAGAATGGCATTTCAATGACCAAAAGAAAGGAAGAAGAATGAAAACAATAGACTTTCCAGTTACAGCAGTGGCTGCAAAACTTGGATACTGATGAAGAGTGAGAGATAAAAGATGCTTTCAAATTATAAATTTGGGGATGGCCATTAGGAATGCTATAGCTAAAAAGGGGAAAAAGTCAATCAGCCTGCTCCCTTGAGACTGCTCCCTTGAGACAATAATCCACAAGCAGAAACTCACATCTTTGGGGGTATGTGATACAAGCAGATAATGGATGAGGAAAAATTAATATGCTTGGCAAGGCTTCAGGAAATAAAGGAAGGGAACAGACTGCACTGCTTGGGAGGAAGATCTTGTCAGTTAAATTATATAATACTTCACTTATTAGTACAATACAATCTCATCAAATGTTATGATGAGGTCACAGAAAAGCATATAGGTATGCTTTATTCAAAAAGACAAAACTAATTATATACTGATTTTTCAATCCAACTAAAATCCATTTAAATGTGCTACATTTTCTTTTGTATTTTAAACCCTTTTTAAAATATAGGCTCAAAGCACTTAATATTTGAAAATGAAATACTTCAGGAAATACGAGCATTTTTCTGCATATTCTCTAGAGAGTGGCAAATTATGTGTATATGAAATATAAAGTCTAAAAGGCAACATTCATCAGTGCTGTGAACTGTAGCTGCAATATAAAAATCACAATATTCTGTCAGAGACAGGTATATCTTCAGTAATCAAATATTACCTCAAAATCCCAGTATAAATATATGTACTGTACCCTTACCTATTTTCATTCAATACTTAATATTTTAGAATGTTAAATAGCCCTCAATCCATAATTTAAATATGCAGAGCAGGTGATCTAGATTTAAACCCTAACACCACCACCATTTCTGACTTTCCATCAGAGATGTTCATAATTTGTTAAGATCACAATTCTTGGAGGGTTTTCATTCCATTCAACTACAGTATATGATCACATTCTTATTGCAAATCATACTAACCAAACACTCAAAGATTGAAAAGGCAGGCCAAAGCGCATTGTTCTTTTATGTCCATTTTACAAAGCTTGAAGAGAGTTTATACATTTGTAATCACTAATCTTACATAACATACAAGACAACAGTTAATTGACAGTATGCATAAATTGAATGGTGTGCATGGAACTGGCATAATTGTATGACCAGATCAATTGTACATGCACTGAATAGAATGTGTGAATGTATTTATTAATGTCTACAGCTATACTTCATGTTTACTTTTAGAGTTAACTGCAAAACATTTGCAATAAACAATAGTGGCAAATGTTCACACTAGGGAAAACTGCAGGTTTGTTTTGTTTAATAATGATTAATTTGAAGAATAATTCTATAAAAATAACTGACAAAAATACATCTAACCTTCCAGTCAAGAAAGATTGGCAGCCATAGATATATTTTTGCTGAGTAATCTATTGTGGCTTAGAGATTTGGATAGTCATTTTACAAGGAAAATGTAAGATAATTTACAGCACAATTTACTGCATAGCAGAATCAGTATTTTTCCTTTTCATTGCCAAATTTGCTTTCTTGGCTAGGCACTGTTTCTGAAATTAGTATTTTAATCAACTTTGAAGCTCATGGATACTGTATTTGAGCTCAAAATTCAAACTATTGCTAGAGCTATGCAAGAGATACAGAAAAGTCCTGGTTGCTTTCTAGTTGGTAATCCAGAGTTTTGTAGTCCAAATATGGCCACACACATATATGTAAACATGCAGATACACAGGCACACATATATGGTTTTCCTCAATGGAACTGCAGCTACATGGAGGGAGGTATGCAGTGGGGTACCCCAGGGCTCTATTTAAGGCCCAGTACTGTTCAACATCTTCAACAATAATTTGGACGAGGGGATAGAGGGAGAACTCATCAAATTTGCAGACTACACCAAGCTAGCAGGAATAACCAACACTCCAGAAGATAGGCTTAAGATACAGAAGGATCTTGACAGAGTTGAACATTGGGCACCATCTAACAAAATGAAATTCAATGGTGGAAAAAGGGTCTTCTGCATTTAGGAAAGAAAAACAAAATACACAGGTACAGTATATATGGTGCCTTGCTCAATAATGATGACTGTGAGAGGAATCTTGGAGTCCTAGTGGACAGTCACTTAAATATGAGCCAGCAGTGTGCTGCAGCTGCCAAAAAAAGCCAACATAGTTCTAGGCTGCACAAAGAGAGGGATAGAATCAAGATCACATGAAGTGTTAACACCACTTTATAGTGCCTTGGTAAGGCCACACTTGGAATACTGCATCCAATTTTGGTCGCGACAATGTAAAAAAGATGTTGAAACTCTAGAAAAAGTGCAAAGAGCAACAAAGATGAGTAGGCGACTGGAGGCTAAAACATATAAAGAACGGTTGCTGGAATTGGGTAGGTCTAGTTTGATGAAAAGAAGGACTAGGGGTGACATGATAGCAGTCTTCCAATATCTCAGGGGCTTCCACAAAGAAGAGGGGGTCAAGCTATTATCCAAAGCACCTGAGGGCAGGACAAGAAGCAATGGGTGGAAACTAATCAAGGAGAGAAGCAACTTAAAATTAAGGAGATATTTCCTGGCAGTTAGAACAATTAATCAGTGGAACAACTTGCCTCAGAAATTGTCTGAAGTGGTGTAAGGTTTCCTGCCTAAGCAGGGGGTGGATTAGAACAGGGGTCCCCAACCACCGGTCCCCGGACCAGTACCGGTCCGTGGATCATTTTTTACCAGGCCGCAAAGCTTGGGCACTGCGAGGGAGAGAGAGGGAGAAAAGAACGCTACGGTATGCCCAGCGCTAGTCTCCCTTTTCCTCTCCTTCTCCTTCGTCAACCACGCACACGCACGCGCACAGATAAAGCTGTTGCTGCTGCTGCTGCACCATGACCCGGAGGAACAGATTGAGCACAGGCACTGAAGGAGCGCCATGGTGTCCGTCGCTAGAGCGCAAGGAAGCAGCAGCAGCTGAGGCAGTGGCGGCTGCTGCGCCTCCGACTTTCCCGGGAAAGGTCATTCCCTGACCAGTCACGCTTCCCGGCCCACGCTTGCACCCCTCGCCCTCCCCGCCGCCCACTTCCTCACAAGCAGAGGCAGGAAGCTGCGAGGAATTTGGGCGTGCTTTCTAGCTGGCTGTGCCAAGTCTTTTTTTTTTTTGTCTGAGGCTGGAAAGAAGAAGGGCGACGGGTCACTGAGGAAGGTGAGAGAGACTAAGAAGGGAGAGAGAAGCCCGGCTAAGGGTGCTTTAGGGACTAGTAGTAGAAGGCAGTGATTGGCGGCACTTGCCACCAGGCGATGCTTCCGGGTTTTCGGTTGGAAAGTGGCGTTTGGGTGCTCGTGCCTTAGTTTCGTTGAAGGGGGGGGCGGCTTCGAACGAAGAGCCGTCCCTATGGCGGTGGAGTCTCGCGTTACTCAGGTACCGGTCCATGGAAGAATAATCATGAAACCGGTCCCTGGTTCAAAAAAGGTTGGGGGGCCATTGGATTAGAAGACCTCCAATGTCCCTTTCAACTCTGTTATTCTATTCTATTCATACTGAAGGATGTGTCCCAATAAACAATAGTAGCAAACAAATAGAGCACAAATCTTGTAAGTCTGCCAAAGCCTGTCTTTCTGTGACAAAAAGAACAGCTAAACAACCTGAAGCAACACAGGCATATCCTGTGGCAAGCTGGAAGAAACAACCACTAGGCCAGGATCCAACCTTAGCAACCCTGCACTACAGTAGACTTTTACAAAGAAAGAGCCTAATTTCAGACACATTTACAGTCCTTCATAGTGTCAACAAGGATACAGAGGAATAGCCCTGAACTCCCTTATTAAAGTCTTGGAAATAAACATACTTGTAAAGGAAGTATAGCCTTAGTTATGGAGAGGCATATAGAGAAACACAGATATTACCATGTAATGTTTTTCCATTGTGTGAGATTTATGATTCTTGGTACAAATTCTGGCTCAGGACTCAACTGACTCTGGAAAAACGTTCTGCATTTTAACTCAACCACCTGTTCCTCTTTTCTGTCTTGTGGGATGCTTGCTATCCTTTGTATGAGAACAAACAAGCAAACGCGTTCAGTATTTCCTGCACACCAGGACAGCTTGTATAAAGCATGTGCTCCTTATTTATTACAAAACGACCAATAAAGATTAATTATAAATGACTGAACTGAATCTTAACAATTAATTGCCGGGTTGCGCGTTTCCTGCCAACGTTTCCTGCTGCAGGGAGCTCATCCAGGCTATTAGAACTTATTTGATCACTCATTACACACGTTGGACTGGCCACCCTCACTATGATTACGTAGTTTTGCCGCACCCTAAAGACCAATATATTTTATCTTTGCCTCGAAGGAGCTCAGTTTTGTTTATTTCGGGTCTTCTTCTGGGAACCGTTCCCGTTCAAAGGGCAATATGTAAACCATTGCATGTAAAACATTGCATGCGTCTAATTCTAGGGAATTCAGCGATCAAGGTTCAAGGTGCACTGCACGGTGTACACACAGCGCACATAACCGGAGGGGGTTTCTCTAGGCGCGCTTCCTGTTTCGAGGGCGACCAGAGACACAACGTAACACGCAAATCCAGCCATCGTAATGGGCGACCTCGCCCCATCAGCCCCTTTCCTTCGCTAAGCCCGCCCACTAAGCTCGAGGGGAACCCGGCCCTGCACTTTTACCCCACCCTCGACTCCTGGCGCGTGGGGGCGCGTGGGGGGGTGGTGAAAAGGAGGAGGAAGGACGCAGGCTCCCGCCGCGCATGCCCACTGCTTCGGCCTTGGCAGAGGAAGGCGGGCGGGGAAGGATGCTGAGGCCGGCGCTGCGTTTGCCAAACGGGAGCGAGCTGGGGATCCTGCGTCGGGCAGCCGCGAGGGGAGCAGCGTCGCGGTCATGCCCAGCTCCCCGTCGGCGCCTCCCGGGCCGGACCCGGAGGAGCACTACGACTTCCTCTTCAAGCTGGTGCTGATCGGCGATGCCAGCGTGGGCAAGACGTGCCTGGTGCAGCGCTTCAAGACCGGGGCCTTCTCTGAGCGCCAGGGCAACACCATCGGCGTGGACTTCACCATGAAGAGCCTGGAGATCCAGGGCAAGCGGGTCAAGGTAGGCAAGCGGAGGTGGGGAGGGGCGGGAAAGCGGCCTCGCAGCCATCCCGGTCTTATCGCCCTTCGCTCGCGGCGCGGGCCGGGCAGGTAACAGGTGTGCGGACAGAACAACAGCTGCGGTCGCGGGAGAAGAAGCTGGCGTGGCAACGTCGCTTTCCCCGGGAGACCTTAAAGGCGCCCAACGTCTTCCCCAGCCCACCTGCTGACATCCTGGCTGGGCCGAGAGAATTCATCGCCAAGCCAGAATTTGCCGAAGACTTGGCGCTTGCAGGGTTGCAGCTCGGATACCTTTTTAAACCATTCAAAGAAGTAGAATTTGACTCCCACTCTCACTCACCCCCTTGCTGATTTCTGAAAGTTAAAAAAGCATTTTAGGTAGTGCGAGGTAAAAATGCCTCAAAGGATATTCTTTTCCTTTCTTGGAGGTGCTTAAGAAATGTTTGAAAAGCCTCTTAAGCTTCTTGGAGAACCTCAGGGGTGGATAGACCAGGCCTATTCAAATAAAAGCTCCCCATAGGAGCTTTGTTGTAATGTTTGAAAATAAGATGAGATTAGGAGTTCTTTTGTAATTGAGGATGTTGATATGCAGTTCCTGAACTTGGCTTGGAGCCTGTTTGGGTATGAAAGAGTCTACTTGGCATTTGTTAAGAGTCCACTTTGCTTACCTAATGAGTAATAGTAAGTAAAAACTAGGGACAAACTTTGACAGAAACGTATTTACTTAACTTAGGAGTGGGCTCTACATTTCCTAACTTTTAAGATTCGGTTGATATTGTACAGAAATTAGGTTGTAATCCCTGTGTGAGTAGTTTTGTCACGACAGGGCCTGTAACTCATGTAAATATTCTGTTTTTGTGCTAAAGCATAGATGGGCAGTCTGGTTTAAGTATCATTCCAGAACAGAATAACAGAGTTGGGAGTTTGGAGGTCCTCTAGTCCAGCCCTCTGCTCTGTACAGCCCGGTAAAATTAAATGGGGTAGGCAGTTTTTTGTAATGCTTTTTAAAATCAGGATAATTCGAATTTTTTTAAAAAAAATCTTCCTTTTTCATATCTCTATGTATGTATATATTGTAGACATCTAGATGTGAATACACTAAATACACCCCCTTCACTATTAAGGGTAGATTTTATAAAAATGCCCACACTTCAGGAAAGGGTTAGCATTTACCCTCAGTACAATAAACATGTTTTATTGTAGAAAACATGAATGCCTTTATTTTTTAAATAATTGTCATGCTTTGTAATCTGGATCAACAACATTTCATGTACACAAATAAAGGGGAGGAACTTAGATATCCCAGTAGGATTTTGTAATTTGACCTGAAAAAGTTATTGGCATTGTGTCAAAGAGTTTTAAGATTTTAATTGACTTTACAGACATGTTGTGCAACTCCTTTATTATATGACACAGCACACCAAAGAGGGCTATAAACCTGTTCACAGTTCAGGAAAATAAATAGAATGCTTTACCAGACATTGTTTTTGAAAGTAATCAAGAAATTTTCCAAAGATAATGTGTACAATATTTTATAATTAGTTATTGCTAAAGTATAGGTTATTCCTGGTAGGTTAAAATTTAGTTATTTATATTCATATGGCAGTTGTTTAATTCTCTTTTATTACAATCCTAATGTTGTAATAAGATATATAGATATTAACATATATTTAAAAGAAAGCCTTTAAATATACTGATTTAATAATAAAATATTGAAAGAATCAGTGTTGAAAAGGCCCATTTAAACCATTGAATCCAATCCTTGCTCTGCACAGGAATCCAAACTGAAATATCTATGACATCTGCTTGAATACATATTTTGAAGGAAAGTTCATCTTTTGGAATTCTGCTTTTGAACTATTTCCAATAGGATATTTTCCCTAGTATTCAGCCAGAATCTGATTTTGTGTAATTAATTTAAACCATCATTTTTGTACCACCTTTTGGGATGATAGAGAGTAGCTCTTGGCTTACATCTGTGTGACTCAAATTCAGAATATAACCCAAAAAGTCATGCCTAGAAGGTACACAAAAAACATTTCAGTGGGTTCAACTGTTGATTATTAATTGTCTAAAAACAGAGTTTTCTAAGCAAGAAGGGGTTACAGGTGGTCCTTACGTAGTGATCACAATTGCTTCTCAGTTGACTCAGCCTGAAGTCGGTGTGAGGCATTTCAACTGCAATTATCATAAATGCTTACCAGTTATGCCTAAGTGCCCAAATGTCAGTTATGTGACTAGAGGGATGTTGTGACTATCATAAATACGAAGGCTGGTAGTAAAGTTACTTTTTAAGCATCATTGAAACCTAAAATGGTCACTAAGTGCAAGATGTGCCTGTATACAGACTTGGAAATATCTTAGTCCTACACATCTAAAATAAGCATTCAATGTTATTTGATATAAACCTCTTTATTTGAAGCTCAGTAGTAATCTTGGGTCTTTATCCGGAAGCTGAGGAAATGTGGCAAAAGCCCCTCCGGAATATTCAACAATTGCTCTTTAAGCTTTTAGTTTTGGAACTTAATGTTATAGGGAGAGCCGTTTGTGTCTTCTATAGAGACAGCTTCTAAGAAGAAAATAAGTCAGATTGCCCTGCTCTATGGACTTATCATTAGTATCTCTTGAACTACAGCACTTTTCATGCTGATTTTGATAATTGGTTTCAAAGCAAAACATTCAGCCACAACACTTTTACGTCAACATTTGCACACAAAGTTGACAACATTTCTTTTACTAATGTTATATATCGAAAGAGAGAATCCCATTCTCTAAACTTGCATTGTTTCATCTCATTGTGTGTTTGCTTTTAGCTAAGTTAATAGGCATTATAATATTAGGATAGTTAGCAAGGAGATGAAACTCATTAATATTTCCATATTTGCTATTACAGCATAAAATAGAGCAGATTTAGAAATTATTTTGCATAGCACATTAAGAAATACAAATCATAGAGCAACTCTAATGTTTCAAATATGCATAATTTCAAATATGATATCTGTGCCTGATTTTGTATGTAAGTTATACGAGTTTGTAGTGTGATTTTTGTCAAAACTATTAGAACAGTTATATTTTATTATTTTGAAATCTATGAATACAGAAAAAGCTGCTCACATGTTTGCTTGTAAGAATTGGAACAAGCTGGAGTCTTAATTTTTTTCCAAAGCTTACTGTCCAGAGGGCAGAACTTTATTTTTGCCTCAATAATATATTATGGTTTAAGTAATTAAAATTTATTCCTTGAAAGGAGATGCAGGAAGAAATACCTATATACAATATCTATATACACGTGGTCCTCACTTACCAACTACCTCATTCAAAGAGTGTTCGAAGTTACGACAATGCTAAAACAGTAGGCATAAGATTGGTTCTCAAACTGGCAGCTGCCACAGCATCCCACAATCACTTAATCACCATTTGTGATCTTCACAGATGGCTTCCATCAAACAGAGTCAATGGGGAAGTCAGCAGGAAGTTGCAAATCACAGGCACGTATGTCATGCTTAATAATCATAGTAGAGCTGACATCAGCCTGGCATTGTCCCAGTTGCAGTCAGCAAGTGAAGACTATCAGTACTTATAATTATATGGACTTTTATTAGTAAGAAATGTTAAGCAAGACTTTAAATGTAACTGTTTATCAATGTATACAGTCACCATTTATTTATTGTTTTATAACTTTTATAAATCATTCATTCCAGAGGCTTGTCTAGATCATGAGTGTCAAACTCACGGTGTCATGTTGCCATTACGTGAAGTTTTGCAATGTTTTCCCCCTTGGGTTGGGTGTGGCCTGCTCGTGACACATCTGACCCACAGTTTGCCAGTTTGACACCCCAGTTCTAGATTGATAAGCCAATAATACAATATGAATAATAATAATAATCCAATAAAATACAATTAAACCTACAACAAATCCAGTATCTCCAGTGGCAAAGATATTACTGCTAATCTTGATTCTTATTCTACAGTATTTCAATACAATCCGCATTTTCAAAATATTTCACTCAATTCATACAAACCAAAGACAGTGTTTTCTAAAGCCAGTCCTAAAGTAAATCATACAAAAATGTAAAGCAATATTTTTGTTTAAGTTATGCCCTTTTGCTGGACTTGAAGTTAAGTATATTTCAGAGGTGTGCACCTCCACACATAATGTGGCCAACTTTGAAAACAAATGTGTCTTCCAGGTATCAGTACTACAGCAGTGAAGAGCAGTTCTGTGATATAAAAAAGAAATTCAGCTGCACTTGTGGTCAGAGGTCAGCTCTCTGTACATCGCAGTTATAATTGCCCTAACTTTCCTGCCTTTGTGGGAAGGCTTATCCATTATTGCTCTCTTAAACTTGCTGCTACACTTTACCTTGCCAAATAGATTGGGCATGTTGGCTGTGGCAACCCAGCGATAACATATTTATCAACTGGGTGTGGAATTATTTTGTACTCTGTTTATATGTTTTTCAGTCAGTATGCATAAGAAAATGTCATCTGATAAGTACATCCAATAACTTATGATTGAAGAACTTACAGAACTTACTTTTTTTTTTACTTCCTTTAGTTACAGATCTGGGACACGGCTGGTCAAGAAAGGTTTCGGACTATAACCCAGAGTTACTATCGAAGCGCCAATGGAGCTATTCTAGCCTATGACATTAGTAAGAGAGGCTCTTTCCAGTCCATTCCTCGCTGGATCGAGGATGTGAGGAAATATGCAGGCTCCAATATAGTACAGTTGCTAATTGGTGAGTGTGGAAAGATCTACTTGGTAAGCCAAAAATAAAAAAGAATTATGCCTCTGCATTAGGAGACAATAGCAACTTGTACAAAGGCATTTCCTCATTTCCAAAAATAAAAACATTTCTTCCTCATTTGAATTACTGATTGAATTACTGCATAATAATTGATAAAGCAGGAAAAAAATTACTTTCAAGCTGTTCTACGATTTACTTTGTTTACTTCAGCCTTTTATTGTTGTCTCTGTATTCCATGCTTTAAGGATCCTTATTTAACAGTATATTTTGAACAAGTCAAGCCACTCTGTGAGTCTGTGCTTTCCTATCTTTTGGGACCAGGGGTGGGATGCTACTGGTTCTGCCCGGTTCTATAGAACCGGTAGCTCTGAAGAGCAGCAGACACTGAACCGGTTCTGTGTTTGCTGCTGTTTGGGCCACCCGCCCACCTGGGCTCTTATCTGTCCTTTATTTCCTGCTTTTTCAACCTCAGCTGCTTTGCGTGGCACAGTTGAGGTTGAAAAAACAGGAAAAAAGAGGCCTTTCAAACGCTGTGCATCCGCGCACAGTGCTTTTCAGCTGTCCAGGCATCACAGCTTAAGGTTTTCTTAAACGCGCGCACAGCAGACCTAGTCACCGAACCGGTGGTAACACCGGTTGAATCCCACCCCTGTTTGGGACGTGTTCCATGCTTATGCCATGATGTTCCACAGAGTATTATGATGTTGAGAAATATGCATTCAGATTATTCAGCATGAGATCCTCTTGCCTAGTATGCAAACCAATATCAGATACTTTTAATTTGAACTTTTTCATCTGTTAGATATCTCTATCCCTTTTGGGCAGGTTTCTGATGTAACAAAAGTGAACAAATGTAAATATAAAAATTCATTGTCATTAGTTCCAGAGATAATTAAATACAACATACAGTAAGTAATATTCTGTTAATACAGGAACATATAGGTTGGAAAGGGTATAAAGTTCATTCCCTGAGATTGAAGTATTATGTTGAAATGCAGGGTTTGTCAACATCAAAATGGGGTAGAATTATAAATCCGGGATCCAAAAATTACTTTTATACTTTCCAATGGCTCAGATTTATCTATGTATTTTATAGTTTTATCTCTTTATCCTGTTATTTCATTAGTTGTTTTTTTCTCATTTCCAAGGTAACTGTAGTATCAGAGGTCTAGCCAGGTTATTTGCATCATTTTTGAGGTCATTCAGCACAGTTTTATGTATCCCTGCCTTTGTCTTTTTCCCTAAGTCTTCCCAACTGAACATTTTCCCTAATCTCCAGAATCCATATTTAAAAACCAATCTTATCAACAATTCTGTTTTCTTCTAGGAAACAAGTCTGACCTAAGTGACCTTCGGGAGGTTCAACTAGAAGAGGCTCAGAACCTGGCTGAACACTATGATATCATCTGTGCCATAGAGACTTCTGCAAAGGACTCCAGCAATGTAGAGGAAGCTTTTGTCAAGATGGCTACAGAGCTCATGATGAGACATGGAGGCCCTGTGTTCAGTGAGAAAAACACAGACAGCATCAAACTTGACAGCAAGGATGTAGTAGAAGGGTGGGGGTGTGGCTGCTGATAATACAATTGGTCTCATTGTTACTGGAATTTAGAGGATACATTCTCTTCTCCTTCACTCTGGGTCTCTTCTATACATAGACACTTTGCACAAGCTTTGTGTTTTGTAAGTTAAGGGATTAACATTTGCAGCATGTTTTTAATAATGAAGGAACTTCCTTGTGTAAAACTGAAACTGTGTGGCAGTCATTCCGTAGCAATTTCTACTAGATTTTTTTTTTAGAGGAGTTAGTGCAATTTGGCAATAAGTTGCACAGAATGACGCTACTAAAATATCTTCATAGAAAATGGTCTGAGTGAAAACTGCTATTTTACTACCGGTATTCACTGACATCTCGGTAGGGGACTTTTATCAACTTGGATGACATTTAATGCTTTTATGACAGCAGGTTTTCAGGCTGCCTGTTTAAACTCTCCACATTCCGGTGGGTGGGTTGGGGGGGGGGGGAGTATTTAAACCTACACAGGGTGACATAAATTTTGTAGGGATATTTAAAGTATGAAATATTCAATTTTCTGCATAGGATATAGCAGCTGAACCTCCTAAATTATAAAATTGTGCTTTCCTGGATACAAATATTTCTGGTAAAAGACATGCAAAACAAGCATTTTTCGCTCTTGGTTTTTTTTTTTCAAATGGAAAAAGCAGTAGATACAACACTGAGCAATTGTAGAATACATAGAGGTTTGGTTTGGTTTCATTTCATATTCACCTCAGAAGACTTGATCTTGAACACATTTCATTGTATATTCCATGGGTTTCAGTGGAACTTTCTTGGAAGTAAATGCCTTTGAAAATGTATAGGGCTTTATTTTAAATAGGTTGAAAATTATAAGTAAAGATAGATTTAATAGTTAATTTTGCACAATTGATATAGATTCCTTTGTTGATACTGTAGATTGGTGATTCTCATCTTCATTATTTTCTATATGATAAGCATACTTCAGATAAGCAGTTTATTTGAATACCTTTCCCTTCAATCCTAACCTCTTCTTCTTTCATTACTATTGAGATATTACAAATTATTCCAGCTAGAGGATTTCCCCCCCCCCCCCCATTTTTTGGTACTTTCAACAATTATCGAGTCGCTCTTTTTGAACTTTCTCTGATCAGTGATATTAAGTTGTTGATAAGTATATAGTAAATGTTGAATTATGTGCAGGAGATAATTGATCATTTTTCTAAACTGACCGCTCATGGTACGGAGTTCTAAAAATCATCAAACAGTTGCTTTAGTTTATAAGACAATGGCTCAGGAATTCTCATTATAAGGTATATTTGCTAATTTTATAAGATACTTCTTTTATATCATAGGCCCTGGGTTTCCCACTGTTAGCTCCTTACCCATTGCTTCTGCCCCTGATTTCTTCCATTATGCTACAACACAATCTTTAAATCAGCTTCACATTAGTTTTTCAGGACAAATCAATAGTATATGCTGTAGAAAAAGTCTGCTATCTATTAGTCAAAAACTGCTGAATTATTTTGACTTTGTTAATTTAAGATAAATATCCTTGTTTACATTGGCTAGTGATTTAAAAGTGCAGATATTATTGACAATTGCCTTTTTAGAGCACCTTAAACTGGGAAATGAAGAATAATTATAATGACTGCAAATCTTCCAAGCAACTTTTCAGTGTCCAACATTATTTCTAATGGGCCCTATGAACTTGTCTGAGAATCAAAGATTTTGAATGAAATCCTTGCAGTTGGTTATATTAAAACGGGTTTGATATAATTGTACTATTATGGCCATGAATACCTCCCTCAATACCCATAGGCTTTCTAACCCATCTGGTTGTTTTTTTTAAAAAAATTCTTAGATCAAATGTGAAACTAACATAATATGCTCTCAAACTTGTGAATATGCCCAATATATTTGTCTAATCTATTTTAGGAAAATACTTAGCGTTGATTGGAAGCTATTAGTTAAGTTAGCAGAGATTAGGATAACACTAGTTTGAGTGAGATCAATATGAGAAAGTTAACATTTGAACTTGTTTAAATTTTTGCAGTATAAAGTGTCTAGCTGTATAATTTACCTTGCTACTCGAACTTTGATTCCAGTGATTATACTGATGAATGTTTTTATTGCAATTTCAGAGTAGTAGCTTTAAAGTTGAATGTTTTGTAAGGTGTAGAAGAAAGGGGCCTTAATTTCAGTTAGATGTAGTTTTATAATTATGTTTCCATAGAAAGAAAATAATGCCTGAGATATGCTGCTTCTAAATACTATTTTATACCAGATTTCTTCAGGTTTATTGTATCCAGCCTTTGATTCCTAAGCAGTAACTAACAATGATTATTAACAGAACATTGGCATTAAACAGATTTTGTACTGTGAATCCAATATTTTAAGAATTAATATTACGTAATTTCAGTTTCTTCAGCTGAGTCCATGAAAATGAAAGAAAAAAAAATGAAACTGAATAGTCTTTGCATGGTTGATTGAACCAAGCACAGATCCTAAGTTCATATCTTCATATAGTATCTTTTATATTAGACATCCATGCACTTTTCAAGCCATAGGTAACCCCTTTCCAAAATGCTGAGGTTTTTGCAAAATCCTGCATAAGGAACTTGATGGGTTCTACCTTTTAATCATTTCTGTATTAGAGGCAGCAGTTTAAGAATAGTCCCTGCATCTCTTATACATATGTAGAAGGACAAGTTTGATTCTCCAAGAGTTAGATGAGAGAGTATACCCAACTCAGTAAATAAAGACAAAAGAGCTATATCAGTTCTATTTCCAGTTATTAAAACATCAAAACATATTTAAATCAATTTCTTTTAAAATAAAATGCAGCCTAAAATTTGATGTCATTCATCATTTGCATTCTTAAAAATATTTATTTCCCAGAGGGGGGAGACCTGTGGGGTTTCAGCATAGCAAGATCATCAGAAAGTATAAAAAAGAATCCACAAAACAAATAGATACTTTGACAAAAACTGAGTGATTACCAAAGAGGGAAATTCAAACTGACCAATATCTGTGATGATATAACCATGTTTATTTGGTGAATCCTGCACTTACTAGATTAATATCAGTCTGACTCCAGGTGGGAAAGAACTCAGTCTTGGGTGGACGATTTAATGGACATACTGGTTTAGAAATGGCGAGTTCTTTCTTCCCTGTGGCAGAAAGGCAGAAAAGCTTTGCTTGCTAGGGGCTGCAAAGATCTCGGCCCAACAATGATCTAAGGAACTGATGCTATTGTATTTCAGGCCAATCTGATATAATGGTGTGCCAATAATGATTTTTTTAAAAAAAGGATTCTGTGAACAGATGTCTTTTGGGGGGGTTGTTGCATTATTTATATAAATATGTTCAAGTGTTATGTGAGCAGACTCCTTTCATACTGGTTTTGAAGGACTATCGTTCGGTATACATTCCCAAAAGCAACTGAGAGCACACAGTTGCTTCAGAATTAGCTTGCTGCTTCCTATTGCTAGTACAGATTTTAGCAGCTAAGATTCTTTAGTGTTTTATAATGTGATATAAACTGCTTATTTATTCCCAGATTGGAAGGCAATAGATTTGCTCAAATTGATTTTTATGAGCTGTTACGTAGAGGTTGCATAGTACTGACATGGTAGATCTTTCTCCATACATAGTGCACTTCAGTAATTATTATATAATAATTGCTTCAATTATTCACTGCAAGCACAAGAAAATTAAATACCAGATTTTAGAGAATGTTACAAATCTTGTATTACTTCTATTGAATTTCTGGTAAAAGTACAAACTGATAACAGAACAGTGCAAGATTGTCTGGCCCCCTGCAAACTTTCTGTATTTTTCAGATTTTTGTGAAGAAGATGGCAATGATATTGCAAATTCCAATTAAAAGTTAATCTGCTTGGTCCCCCTTTATATGAGGAATTAAATAGGATGCCTTTTCAAGGGGTAAGGCTATACATATGGATTAATTACAATCTTCTCCTGGGAAAGGGAGAAGGAAAAAGACAATCATTTTCATGCAATGACAAATAAGAACTTAAGTAGTGTACAGTGTAGTAGCCTTGGGGGTATCTTCAGTGGAAATACTGGAGAATGATCCTATGAGAGGGAGAGGCTTGGAACATAAATTTTAAAAGACGAAATTGTCAAAATATTTAGGAATCCCATTATCAGCAAGAAGAATTCAGTCAACGGCATTGGTTTTCTTTGGTCTTTTGAGTAGAATGGAAGTATTGCATAGAGAAATCTGTTTGGAAAAAAGTCATATTTCAAATGGATTTTTCCAGTAAAATATAAAAATAGTTGTATATCATAAGGAGTGGGAAACATTTATTTATTTGCAGCAAAAATATGAATTTAAACTCCATGCCTGTTTCTTTAAAGACTCAGGGCTCTTCACAGCACTTTTATATGCTGGAGTGTTGATCACTTTTTGACTGTTCCAGTAATGCTAAAAAAAATCTCATTGTTTGTCATATGGCTGGATAATACAGCAAAACAAAGAAAATTGGCCTTTAATTATAATATAGATGATCTGTAGAATTAATTATGTTTATAAAGATTCATTATTTTGTCTAAATCTGTTTTTAATGTAATACTATAATATAACTGCAAATTAAGAGTAACACAGTTGTCTGTTCCGATATAAATCTATTTTTAATGTAATATTATAATATAACTGCAAATTAAGAGTAACACAGTTGTCTGTTCCGATATAAATACTACCTATTTACATTCCAAATATACAGGTACACAAAAACACATTGGTGTGTGCATACACACCCACACACACACACACACACACCCTTAGATTTATATTTATCTGGCAATGTCTGGCATAAAATAATATGCAAGTTTCAGGTACATGCTGTAAAATGAAGCATATGAAACATGCCAGATTCAGTTTGAGATATTAAATGTCTAATTCTTTTACAGAAAACTACTCATAGATTTTTAAGCATTTCAGATGGACTACGTTTCTTACACAGATAGAAATTTATGGTCTATTTTTTGCATAAAACGCAGGGGAATATGCTACAGAAGTATGCTTGTAATTAGTATTACATATGTATCATGCAGTTTAGAACAGGTAGCTTTTTGTGACAGTTTGAAAAATAAAGTACACTAAATTATGTCTAAAATTGGTTCCAGCTTTTCCAAAATAATACCTTTGAAGTCTTAGGATAGAAATGTGCAGACACAATTTTATGGCTTAAAAGTAAAAATTTTCTAACAATCTGAATACTAGGGAAATTCTTTAACAACTGCTGAGAGAATTGAAAATTATATAGTTTATACCTAGGTTGTTCAAGACTTTAAATGTTATTTATAATTAATGCTTTCAATATGCTATGATTGATTGGCAGATTAGGTGCCCCATTCAATTGGTGTTGACTCTTTGTGACCAAATGGATAGATCTTCCCTGGGTCTCCAACCTAGCCTTTCAGGACTTCCAACTCTGTAATTCTTGCTGAGTCAATTCACCTTGCCACCGTCTGTCTCCTTGTTCCTTTCACCTTTACCACCATTATGGACTTTCAAGAGATCTCAGTCTTTTCATAAGGTGCCCCAGAATGATAAATTGAGCCTGGTCATTTCCGCCTCCAGTGAAAACTGCAGGTAAATTTATTTTGTGATCCATTACTTTCTTTTCTTAATTCTCTCTTGTTTTCTGCAACATCAGAATTCAAAAGGGTTAACATTCTTTCTACTCTGCTTCATCATCCAACTTTTACTTCCACAGAGCGTCACCAGAAAAAAGTATTTTTTGCAAGATTTTGATGACATGTCATGTTACCTTTGTAGATATGTGTATTGCTATTCTACTATTATAGTCTACTATATTACTATAGTCTTAGAATATTTCTTAACTGCTGCTTCCAGTACTCTTGGTAGCCAATCCTAAAAGGCAGAAGCTACTACTTCATTATCTTCATGATCAATTTTAGCACTGGTTATAGTAGCTGTTCTCGTTAGTTTGGCTTCCATTATATTGTACTATTCCTATGTCTTTCAGTGTACTTGTTGACTTTCATTGCAGATCATTTACATTTTTTCCTATCAGAGGAATGTCATCAGCATAAAGCAAATTTGGGAGATTTCTTCCTCCAGTTTTAAAATCACATTGTAAAATCCAACCTACCTCATCGTATATGAAGCATACTAGACTAAATTAATACAAAGAAAATTGTCAACCTTGTATTACTCCTTTGGAAAAACACAAAGACAGCTTGCTTCACTATATTCTGTCTGGACTGTGGCTTCCCATGTAACGTAGGTTTTTTTTTTTAATGAGAACGAGATATTCTAAAGTTCCCATTTTTTAAAAAATCACAGTTTATGGTTGACATAAGTGAGACCCTTTTTATAAACAATGAAGTACAGATTTATTTCGTTTTGGTATTCTTTGGATTTCTCAACTTCCAGCTTTGGTATCTTGACCAATATCTTTGTAAAGCTGCTCTTCATCTCTTTGAATGGTTCTCTGAAATTCTTTGTTAAGTTGTCCCAAAGGTGCTTTTTCAAGAGCCATCTGGATTTCTTTTGTTTTTCCTTGAAGACATTTCTCATCCAAAAAGCTTTTTCGGTTCACTGGATGAGAAGCGAAACATCTTCAAGGAACAACAAAGAAAGCCCAGTTGCCTTTTGAAAAAGCACCTCTGGGACAACCATGACCTGGGTGACTGAGAATCTCCATAGACATCTTTGTTAAATTTGTTCCTGAGAATTTGGATTTCTTGCCTTTTGCTTCTCTTCCCTTTTTGGCAATTTCCAATGTGCATATTTCCTCCATTGTGTTTTAGAAACTATGTAAGCAATAAATAAATCACTGAGTTGACTGA